CCTGTCCCTGACTCTAGGGCCCTGGTCCTCCTGTCCCTGACTCTAGGGGCCTGGTCCTCGTGTCCCTGACTCTAGGGGCCTGGCCCTCCTGTCCCTGACTCTAGGGGCCTGGTCCTCCTGTCCCTGACTCTAGGGGCCTGGTCCTCCTGTCCCTGACTCTAGGGCCCTGTCCCTCCTGTCCCTGACTCTAGGGCCCTGGTTCTTCTGTCCCTGACTCTAGGGACCAGGTCCTCCTGTCCCTGGTCCTCGTGTCCCTGACTCTAGGGCCCTGGTCCTCCTGTTCAGCGATGTCATATTGGGAAGCTGATTCTCCTGCTGGACTTTAACATGACCTAAGTTTTAAGGTCTCAGCAGTTTGTGCTGAATGGCGACTTGGCTCTGATATCCGACCGGCGGGAGGCTGCCCCATCCTGCTTGCTTGGCGGGAGGCCACAGGTGCTGGCACCTTAGCCCTCCCCAACCCCGCCAGGTGGTGGCAGAACCTTGCCCGTGGCAGCTATGATTCTGGGGGGCCTCCTGTGCACCTGTGGCCCCAGGATGGCAGTAGGCACACACCCCTACTCTGACCCCACTCCAACCCCCTCCTGCTCTGTCCTGGGGTGGGGCAGGCTCACGACTTTAGTGTGTGACTTTAGTGTCCTCCCTCTATCACCCGGACTGAGCAGCCTGGGAGTGTGCCCTGCCCACTGCACCACCCTGGGCAAACGGTGGTGAGGTAACACCCCTGGGGGAGGTGACAGGGCCTGATCCTAAAGCCTGCAGCTGGGCTGACTTCTCAGGAGGTGCAGATCCTCAGGGGGTGCAGACCCATGCAGGTGCTGTCTGCCATGACCCCGGTGCCCTCCTGCTGTCTGCCCCACTGGCTTCCCTGCCTCACGCAGGTCTCAGGTAAGGACAGCCTGGGTTTCACAGGAAGATGTTCAGGTGGAGCACCCCAGGGGATCCTGGGGAGGAATCCTCCCCCCACCCCAAGCCCCCTGCCCTCTTCTCTGGCTCAGGCTCACCTTTGCCCACTGTGCCATCCCCATCGGCCAGGATGACCCAGGGCACGGCCCGGGGGCCTTCGATGCGGTAGATGACGCCTGTGCGGTCATCCACCGAGTACAGCTTCCCATCAAAGACGATCAGCTCTGACAGCTCCATGCCCCGCCCCTTCTCTGCCAGGTGGGACTCCAGGACCTGGTGGGTTGGGTCCCACTCCACAGTCACTCGGTCCCCGCTGTCTGACAAAGTCAGGTGGCCTTTTTTCAGGTAGCTGAACCATGTGTGCTCCTTCTGGGCCCTGGACTCTGTGTCCAGGTCAGCGATGACCGCGATGCGGTATCGCATACCCCCGGCTATCCTCTGGGGCAAGGACAGCGGGTAGGTGTCATTGTAGCTGTCAGCGGGGCCCAGCCTCCAGTTGTGGGCATTGGGCGCAGGGGGCCTGGCAGAGGGCGTGCGGTGGGCAGGCAGGTGGTGGGTGTAGACCAGCCAGAGGGCAGCGAGGGTCAGGAAGACTGCGATCACCTTCCAGCGTGGTCGGAAGCGGGGGTCTGCAGCCTTGGTCATGGATGCCAGCACGGGCAGGCCCCCCACGCTGATGCGCAGGGCCTGCATGGACTCATTCCACTCCAGGGGCTCAGAGGGTAGCGCGGGCATCAGGGTGGGGTGCGGGCAGCACCTGTGCACAGGACAGAGGAGAGCAGTCAGAGGCGGGGCCAAGGGACTTGGCCAAGCCTGCAGTCTGTCTTCCTCTGTCCCACTGAATGAAGGCTGAGACAGCAAGGGACAAGGTCAAGGCCCACCCAGGATGAGAGACAGCCTGGCACTCGAGGGGTGGGGTGTCTGTGATGCTCCGACGTCCACTCTGACCTGTGTTCCCACCTTCACCAGATCACAGGCCATGGGCCCGCGCGGTCCCTGAGCTGGGCAGGTGCCATTCATGTGACAAATACCCCCCTGAGCCCCAAGCCACCTTCTCCTAGAGACAGCTCAGTGGCTGCTCACCAACCCTGGAGCAGCCTTTGGGGTGCCCCAGCTTGTCCTGTCCTCCTGTAGGAACAACGCCCCCCACCCTCACCCCCAGGCTACTCCATGGGCCTGCAGCTTGGCTAGAGCAGTGCTGTGCTGGCCTCCGGGTCACAGGTCCCTGGGCCCCCTCCTGTCACTCACTTCCTTGCCACGCCTCCCAGGGGCTCAGTTTCTGACCTCCCATCACACCTCCGTCCGGAGTCTGACCAGAGCACCAGCCTACTGGCCTGTGTCCAGGCCCCATAGGTCTCTAGAATGCACACGCCCACCCTCGACCCTCCAGGGAGGCGGCTGGACCGGCTGCCTGTGGGAGTGGTTCCCAGGGGCTCTGACTCATCCACCAGCACATCGAGGGGATGCGACGCAGCTCTGGACCAGTCGGTCCCTGGCGGGGCCTCGGAAGTAGACTGCCAGGCCTTTCCTCCTAGCCTCAGTCTGGAGCTCTGCTGTGGGCAGCTCTGGAGGTGCGCTGGCTGAGTTGGACCCAGGTCTCCAGCCTGGAAGGCCGCGTTCTCCCAGAGAACCTCTGCTCCCCATGCCTGCTGCCCCACAGGCACCCGTGTCTGGGGCTGGGAGAAGCTGGTCCTCTCATGACGACCCCACTGGGCAGGTGGGATGGGCTTCTCCCAGGAAGTCCACAGGTGGGTTCAAACGGCCAATCTTTGCGTTCACAGCCCAACACTCACAAGGTCCCGGACAGGCAAGCACCAGCCCCCAGCCAGCCTGTGACTGCTGACAGTGAGGCGCCCACCTCAGGAAGCTCCCTGGACCCCCAGAGTGATGTTGGAAGCCGCACTCCGCCTGGCTGCTCACTGCTCGGCAGTTCTTACTCAGCTGACTCCTCCACGGCCACTGGGGCAGCAAACAGTGGCCACCCAGCTTCCAGGGACCAGCTCACCCTGCTTGCTGCTCTGGCACCAGACCAGGGCCTCACCTGCCTCCAGCCCTGGGAGCCTTGCAGCAAACACCCCCGCTCTGTGCTCTCTACAGGAAGTAGGGGCCCTGGAGGCCAGCTTCTACCGATGGGTGGCGAGGCTCCCTGAAAAGTAACTAAGCTGCTGCGGCCGCAGGGCCGATGCTGACTGAGCAGAGACGCTTCATTGGGTCTCTGAGGATGCCTCTCCCGGGAGCAGACACCACGTCTTTCTCCCTCGGGCGCCTGCTGGGGTCGAAGCGCTTACGCACAGAGCCACCCAAACACAGAAACCCATCCGTGGCCAACGAGTGTGGCCCGCCGACTGAGCGGATGGAGGGTTTCCGTCTGAGCTGCAAGTCCTAGACCTCACCTTCCCTCAGGGTTGGCCGCTCCTGCACCTGGAATGTGCCTCACCACCCCGGAGGGCCAGGCTGCTGTGCCCTCGCCAGGTGGTGCCAGTGGCAGCTGCGACATGGCACGTGGCAAGCCTCCGTCTCAGAGGGGCAGCGAAGGCGACAGACAGGGGGTGGGGCGGCGTGAGCACGGAGGCAGAGAAATTGAGGGATGTGGCCACAAGCCGAGGGGACAGGGTGGCAGCAGAGGCTGCGTGAGACCAGGGCAGGACCCCCAGCCCTCGACACCTGTGCTGTGTGCTACTTCGGCCACCTGCCCTTAAACACTGCGAGGAACTAGGCATGATGGGGGCAGTGGGACAGCGATCTCTGGGGCACCATCTGGACTGCCTCCTGTGCGCCCCACCTCCAGGCAGCGTCTGGGCCCGTCTCACTCAGCTCCCCGAGATCAAGCAGACCTGGCTGTCGCCAAGAAATTCCTTTAACTCGTGGTCAGGCTCCCTCTTTGTGGAGCAGGTGCCCACGGGGCGTCGCTCCCCAAGGAGCCCCAGGAAGTCGTGCTTCAGTAGGAGAGCGCCTTGCCCAGCCCGGGCCCTGCTGGTGCCAGGACAGGCACCTGGCGCAGCGACAGCGGCAGATTGACTCAACCACAGAGGAAGACCCCGCCAGTCACCCAGCACACCCCGACCGGCTCCACAGAGCAGGGTGGCCCCGCCGTCCCAGCCTGTCACCTTCACTGCCACACCTTTATCCCGGAAGTGGCGATGACAAGCGGGAGCCATCGACGCAGCCATGTGTGTGCACAGCTGGCCCTGGATTGGACCTGCTGTGATGTCGCTCCTGCAAGGTGGCCAGCTCCCAAGCGCCCAGGCCTCTTCTCCAGCCCTTCTCCTGAAACCATGGAGTCTGCAGGCCAGCCTCAGAGGGCTCGTCCACACCCCTGGGGAGCAGCTGGTCTCTCTCCCTACTCCTGCCCGCTCCCTGTCCCACTGAGACCACCAGGGGACACAAGGCCCACCTACCTTCATGGGCAGGCCCAGTCTCACCACCGCTTCACAAAGGGCTCACCTGCTGCAGAAGCCAGCTCACTGGCCACGGCCTGAGCCAGTGCCCTCTGACCCAGGATGAGTAGGAGAGTGGGGAGCTGAGTAGGAGGGTGGGGAGCAGGGTTCCCAGGCCGTCTCTCACAGTCCCTCTGGGCCCCACAGAAGCCACTTTCCTTGCCTCTGAGATGCGGTGTGTCCCCAGAGCCACGTCCCCCTCCCCTCGCTGCCAGAGATAACTTCCTCATTGGCAGCACGGAGCTCAACCCTCTGACCTCTGCAGTCGGCCCCGTGCCAGAGCAGGGGCTGGGCTTCCGCTGTAGGCACCCCGCCTGCCGGCTCCAGAACACAGGGCGTGAACCGAGGAGGGGCCCCCAGGTTACACACAGGGCTGCTGAGCAGAGGGCTGGCGGTCTGAGCTCACCTGCTGCCACGCAGGAGGGGTGAGGCCCACCTACTGCTGTGCAGGAGAGAGGTGAGGCCCTTCCGCACAGCCCTATAGGGTTCGCCAGGACCCTGGTGCAATTTCTTGGCCCTGGGGACTGCTGGGGGGCAGGACGGCCATGCGTGCTCCGTGCTGGGCTGCTCAGTGACAAGTCGGGGGTGCGAGTCCCCCAGCTCTCCTTGGAGAAAGGAGAGGACAGCCCTGGAGGTCACAGGGGCAGGTCGCTGTGCTCGTAGGGCAGGTCTAGTCTGTGCTGAAGGGTCTCTGAGAGTCAGAACTGGCTGGGTGGCGGAGTGGGAGGAAAACAATGGGAGCCCATTCAAGGGTGAGCCTGCTGCGTGGGAATCTGGCAAGAGGACCGGAAAGCAGCCCTGTGCCACAGTGGCATGCGTCGTGGGGTACTGGGGACCCCACTGGCACAACCCCCAGCTCTCTGGGCAGCAGGGCCAGCAGACCTGCTCTAGGACAGCATCCCTCTCAGCCTTCGGGTCCCGGCCACTGCGGCAGTGACTGTGGCTGGGTGGCTTCAGCACAGCTTGACACTTCTCTCAGTTTGACAAACGCTCTCACAGGGCTAAATCCAGGGGTCAGCAGAACCCCCTCCTGGCACTGCCCTGCCTGTCCCTCCCCAGATTCTAGAGGCTAGCCACCCCTTCAAGGGGGAACATTTGTAGGCTTTCTGGCCCACCAGGACAAGCCCCATCTACAGGACGGGACAGCGGACTAGCAATCTACCTGCCCCAGGCCAGATAAAGGGGCGGAGTTCAGCTCCTTGGAGCTAGGGGTTGGGCACCCACAAAACCATTCGCAAGAGGTGTCAGGGAAGGCCCTCCAGCCCCGTCCAGTCTGTATCACAATCGGGTCTGTGACCAGACCAGTGGCCTGTGCTCCATGACTGTTTTTTTTATAAAGGGGTTGCCAGCCCTTTCTTCTGAGGCGCCCCTGGGTGGGTGACCCACCAACAAACAGACTGCACCACCCAGAGCTCCTTACACCCCTGGGAGGGTGACCTGGCCCCTGGAGGAGCCCAGCCCAGACAGCACCCCATCCCACCGGGGCCTGACACTGGGAATCCCACAAGCGCGCCACCCCAGGGGCTCACTTCTGGAGACGGCTGGGCCCACCCCCACCCCAGCCTCCTGCTTTCCTTGGTACTCTGTGTCACCCAACTTTCTCTTAGTCCAGCGAGACCCTCAGAGCCGCCTACCCCAGGGGCACGCCTGCACTTTGACTCTACCTGCCCTATGGTTGGACTCTGCTTCTTTCTGGCCCCATGCCTGCACCCTCCCTGCCTGGAGCCCCCCGGCGCCCCTGTGCAGGGAAGCACAGGCCAGCTCGGAGTGCGTGGAAGAGGAGCCTGAACTTGTACTGAGCCACGGCGGGAGGGGGGTGGAGGTGGAGACTGGAGATCCTGAGGCACTGAACAGTTACAGACAACCCCGGGCTCAGAATGAAGAGAGACGGACCGAGGCAGCCAAACACCTTCCCAGGCAGACGGCTCTAGAAACCAGACCCAAACCCAACCCTGCCATCCAGTCGACACCGGCTCAGGCTCACGGCGACTCTACTGCATAGGGTAGAGCTGCCGCTGTGATTCCTGAGACTGTAGCTCTTTACAGGAGTAGAAAGCCTCATCCTCCTCCCACGGAGCAGCTGGTGGTTTTGAACTGCTGACCTTGATGTTAGCAGCCCAACGCATAACCACTACACCACCGGGACTCTTGTTTCCCCCCACTCATTAAGGAAGTCTTGATGTAATGACACGGAAAATTGACATAACAGTTCTTAAATGGCACTGTGCTGGGCTGGCCCTCCCACAGGTAGACAGTGCCCGGCTAGCCAGGTACTCAGCTGCACACAATGCTGAGCAT